CGGTGTTTTTTTTTAAATAAAATCGATTTCGTGTTCAGTAATATGGAGAACGCAGTGCAGGACTTCGCGGTGACGAACAGATTTAACGGAAACAGCGGTACCTATTCGTAACGTGCGGAAGGTGGGGTGCTAGGAAAAAGGAAATCGCTGAGGACGAACGGTAAGAATCCTGACGAGAAACACTCAAACGAAACCTCGCGCTGTTCCAACTGAAATTAAATGACAGATTCGTCGTCGTTTACGGAATGCAAGAATCGAAGCACGTGAAGCAGTGAAATCAACGTAATGTTTCAGGATAAAATTACACCAACGGCAGAAAGCGTCGTTGAAACAAGAACCACAACGATTGATTTACAGTCACCAGGCAAACGAAAGAACTCATTAAGTAACGAAAAGAAATGAAGAGAGCAACAGGTCCGGAATAAAAGACTGAATAAGTGGAACTTTGCAAAGCTTTAAGGAAACTGGTAATAGAAGGCGTCTGACCATTCGACTGCTTTCATTGGTAAAGATGAGAGACAACCGAAGCATGAAGAAATTAAATTACCGATTGACGGTCACAAAAGGAGAAGTTTTAGCTCTCAAAGCAGAAGACAGGACTGTCAACAGGAATAAACAAGAGATTCGAAAGAGAGTGGAACATTTCTACAGAAAAGTGCACAAAAATAAAGAAAGCAACATCGTTGGTGAGGATAAAAATTTTACAATTTTAAAATATAGTGGCAAAAATTTCAGACATCTCAGATAAAGTGCGACAGGCAGTGAAACAGGGGAAGCGATGAAGGACTCCTGACAAAGACGGTATTACAGTGGAACTCATGGAATCAGGAGGTTAACCATCGACAGCGCGTTCGTTTTCACTCTGTCTGAAGGATATGAAAAGTGAAGATGATTTGACTCGCGCTTCGGTGATTTTACTCCACAAAAACGGATGAAGAAAGGATCTGAGAAACAACATGCTGATCACGCTGTCACCAATTATTCGCAAGATCTGCACCACAGGACAATCTGAGGAACAGCTTCAAGAAAAACTAGTCATTGCATGGAAGAAACAGTATTCAGAGGTGAATTTAACACGATTGATCATCGTCAGGTAATACCACAAGTAAATTCAGGCAAGTAACGAATATCAGCTTGCGTTCTTCCCAAGGTTCGTCGATTTCGAGAAGGTTCTCGTCTTGATCTGCATGCATTCTGTATTGGATTCTTTCTGGACCCGAGAAATCGAGAAATGGTCCATAAACCTGAATGAAGGTGCTAGCATGAGGTTTCACGGAAGCAAAAGCAAAGT